TCCACTCTCCTTCTCCAGCTCTCTGCACACACCTGGCCTACTCATTCCAAGTAGCCACAATAGTGGACAGGGACTGCCACCTTGGATCTCCCAGAATTACCCCTAAACTGAGCCTGGCAGCTGAACTGGTGGTACCATTGCAGCCTTCCAGATGTGAGTGGCCTATACGTACTGCTGCATGCTCATCTCAGCCATCACTCCCTTCTTCCTTGCTGCTGTGGCTACCCTCCTGCCTTGGACCCTATGATTCACCTCCACCTGTCAGCCATCCCCAAGAGGCAAAGGATTAAATATGAAAATGCCCCCAGAAAAATCTTAAGTTCAACAGCTAGGGAGAGATTTGATGTTGGACTAGGCAAGCGGATCCCCTGTTTCCGGCGGTCAATACACAGGAGTCACAGAGACTCGCTGCTGCTGTCTACAGCAAGCATCATGGGTAAGGTGAAGGTACCCATGCAGATTCATTTTACTGAGGTCTGGGACACTAGGCCACTCTGGGCCAGGTAAAACCCTTGCAGGATGGGTTGGAAACAAGAGGCTAAAAGTGGATGGTTTGAAAAAAGATTTCATGATTTTACTAAAAATCCATTCCTTCCATATTCTCCCCTAAAAATGACAAGTGGATTTTGTCCAGTTCTGGATTTTGGCAAGTGCCTCTTTCCCCACTAGCTTGTCTGTGGTTTGTTCTAATTTCATCCCAACTCTCAATCTGAGGCAGGTGACATCCTGCTCCCATCCCAGCCAGCTTGTGATCAACCAAACCTGGCATTTACATGTCTCCCTCAAAATCCCACTTCGCAGACACATTCCTTTTTCCAGAAGGTGAACCAGGTCCTGGATGCTAAACCAGCAGGGGAACAGAGAGGCCAGACATGGTTCAGGAAGGAAGCCCTGAATATGGGCCCGAGACAGTTAATTCCAAGGATTTCCATAATTGGGAGGCGCCCCTTGCTTTCCCTCCTCCTGCAGCTCCAGGAACCTGCACCCTCTTCCCTTCTTGATGTGTGTGTGGGTGGCCTTCTGAGCCCTAGCCCTTTCGGGCCACCCAGGGGTGGGAAGGGTGGGGTTGTGGAGGCAGGGAGGGGCCCAGAAGCCTGGTTTACCTGAGAGAGAGGGAAGAAAGAGAGGAAACGAGGGGGAAGAGAGAGCGAGGAACAAGCCCCTCAGAGTGTGATTTAAGCAGGATGCTGCACAAAATGGCTCCTCAGCGAGACTCACGGTAACTGCGCGGAGGCCGGCCTGCAAGCCTAGAGCGGGTGGGGGCTTTGGGAGAAAAAATTAAAAGCCTGCTTTTGATTCAGCTCAGATGCAGGAGGCCACTATCACCAGAGCCACATCTCCGCTGTCTTTTTGGGAAATCGAGTCCCTTGTTGGGAGCAGGTGAGGCTGGCCACAGGGAGGCTCCCACACCCTGCCTGAGTGGGACCTGCCCCAAATCAGTGCCTCCTCCACCTCACTGTAGCCCCACTCCCAGGAGGAAGGCCACAGAGACAGGGAGCCTCAAGGCCATAGGCTGCTGGGAGGAGGAGGCTGTTCCAGTGGGTCAAGGCAGCTGCAGTCTCCGTGGGTTGGCAGCCAGCTTCCACGCACAGCTTCACAGGAGCCGGGGAAGCCATCCAGGTCGACACCAGGCAGAAGTGCATTGTATGGGCTGGGCACTGCCAGCTGAGGCTGGCAGACTGCTGGGCAGGCCAACTCACAGACCAAGTGGGGAGAACCTGACCAGCCACCAGCGTTGACCCAGATTGCCCCCTTGCCTGCAATTCAGGCCGGGTCTGGGTTCCATGAACTTTCCCCATGCCAAGCCCCTGGCCTTGGCCTTCAGCCACAGCACAGTCCCTGAAGTTGCAGAAGTTCAGGTACTGGGTCTGGCCGGCCACTGGGCACCCAGGCTAAAGCACTGGTGGGAGCAGTCGGGCCGGCCACGGTGCTGAGAGCTGCCCGCCAGGCCTGTCTCTCCACCTCCCCACTTTCCCTGAACTTCTTCCACCTCCTCCCCTCAGTCCTGAACCCAGGCTCCACAGGCACCCGCAGCTAGCAGGAGAAACTAACAACCAGAGAAAGACAGAGCCTCAGCAACTAGGTACCTTCACTGAGGGCCTGAGACTCCATTTTTCATATTCAAACCTCTACTGAGGAAAGAGAGCTCCTGGCCATGAAACTCCCATATCCAGATCAAAAGAAATACCCGTCCCTGCTGCAACCACAGGCATGCTCTGCACTCCCTCGACTCAGCAAATCTGCACAACACCCCCTCACACACTTGGCCCATACACCCATCTAGCAGCCAGCCTGACGCAGGTGGCTGGTACCTTGCCCATGCACGTACCCATGTACACTCTTGTACCCATCGGCAGTGGCAGCTGCTTGGACTCCAAGCTGGCTTTGGCCCAAGTTCCTACTGGTAGTTACACAACTCAGTAAAGGGGACCTGACAATCCACAGGAGTGCACCTTCTATTTCAGGACATAGTAAATTAAGGTATTAACTGGCAGAAGAGGGGGACAGTTCTGACCCTAGCCAACAGTCCTGTGCAGCCTCCCTTCAACTAAGACCAGATTTGCCCTGATCTAGAGGCTGGGAGCCAGAGGCCGATGGAACTCTGCAGGCACTACTCCAGGCAGACACAGCCACCCAGCCTGTGATTCAGCCTGGAGCTAGTGCTCCTTTCCTGAGCCTCACTGGTTCTTAATTAGGAGACAGTGTCTCCAGCCACAATCTAGGCTAAGTCCAGGGTGCCCTCACCCCCCTGCCCCTCCCTCCCTCCCTCCTTCCTTCCTCAGGTCCGAGCTTTGATTAAGCTGATCTCCCTATTGTCTGGAGGCTGGCAGGACTGCTAGCTGAGAGACCCAGCATTAGGCCAGCTCAGATGGCCCCAGCTCCCTGCACCCAGGGGGTCCCAGAGCCTGCACACTCGCCTTCATTTACACCTGGTCAGTTGAGGGTAATGCTCTCTCTGGCTCCCACATCTAGCCTCTCTCCTCAGCAGCTGAGGTGTCGGCTCTGGGGAGGCCTAAGCTGGGCAGGAACCTGAAAACACCCCTCCTGAAAAGGCCTGGACAGAGCACTACCCCTTCCCTGGGGTCTCCAGCAGCAGATACTACTAATGGAAGTCCTGAGGTGGACCCTGTATGATGCCCCCATCTCAGTGCCTACTTAGCCTACCTTCGGGCCTCTGTTCCTTGATTGAAAGGTAGACCCTAAAACTCCATCCTCTTCCCCTCCATGGCCTAAGAATCGCCCTCCTCCAGGATATGCAGGCTTAAAAGGGGGGTCCCTTTAGGCCCAGCACCTCAATTTATCCCCAGCCACAAAGACTCAGTGTGTTTTTCTGGACTCCAATACTGCTTCTGTGATCTCACCCTGGAATGTCTCCCACCTTCTGTTACCTCCCTGCTCTGATGGGTCCAAACGGGACCAGCTTCCCCACCAACCCTGTTCCCAAAGAAGCCCCTCACTTGGCTCAACCTCCACCAATGCCCTTATTCTTCCCCAGCTCAGTGGAGCCTAGGCTAGAGGTGGCTGCAGAGACGCCCACGGGCAGATCAGAGAGACCTGTTCTAGGGCACGGAGTGGGGAGCAGAGCGGACAGGATTTCCCAACAACTTCCCATTTCAGAGGGGGGAAAACATGTCAAAAATCTTGTCTAGAGTGGGTGCTGTGTGGTGCGGTTTCTGAAAATATTTTTTTCAGGAAGCTGCTTTCTAGGTTATTATTTTTTGTGGGGGAGGGGATAAGAAGGGAGTAGGGGGCAGTGGCTAGGGAGAGGGCGATTCTGGGACTCAGCAGAACCTCACTTCAGAAGCATTCCTTTCTTCCTGCTAACCACGTCTGCAGCCCCACAACTTCCATCCGACCTGGCGCCCTTCCCCTTTCTGCTCACCCAAAGTCCTCACCTCTGGGCGCTCTCCACTGCCCCATAACCCTCTGCCCCGGATGACTGAGTCCCGCCTCCCACACACAGTCGGAGCGCGCCCTTCATCCCACCCCCAGCGGCAAAGGGAAGCCCCAGCCGCCTGAGCTGCCCAAGGGGACCGGGCAGGGATGTCCCAGCCCCCTCTCTCAGTCCAGCCCAGCTTCCTGACGCTGCCCTGGCCAAGGCCACCGCCCTCATCCCCAGCCCTCGCTTCCCAGCCTCGCCGAGACACAGCGGGCAGTGGCACTTACGGACCGGGAAGGGGGCCCGGGCCCCAGCGAGGCAGTGGGGCGGGTGGGGCGGCTGCGGGCACCGCGGCTCTGCCGCTCGGGATCAGGCGCGTTCCTGGGCTCAGGCCCAGCTCTCGCCGCTCTCCGGGAGACCCTGCCCCGGCGAGCGCATGGCAGCGAGCTGCGGGAGGCGGGCACGGCAGTGGCGGCGCGGGGGCTCCTGGCGGCGCGCGGCTTCTCTGGGCTCTGAGCGGCTCCCAGCGCCGCCTTCTCGGGCGGGCACGGCCCGCAGTGACGTCAGCGCGGCTCCCCCCGCCCCCCCCTCCGTTCACCCCGACCAGTGAGGAATGGAGGGGGCGGAGGCAGGCTGCGAGGGGCACCCAGCCGTGTGCCCTGGCCTTTCCTCCCCACGCCCCGCTTGCCTCCTAGCTTTTCCCGGGGAGTCGCAACGCCATTTGTCCCCCCTGTTCTCCCCGCGCCGCCAGACTCACCCGGAGCCACCAACGACCTGGGAGGTGGTGGCAAGCAGCGGGTTGGAAGCCTCTCCGGCGGCTCCAGACTCAGAGATCTGGGCTGCTTTGGGAAGAATGGAAGCTGGGGCATGAGGGGCATCCACCTCTGGGCTGAAAGGGGGCGTTTTATCTTCCCCCCAAGCACAGGTGTTGGTTAGGCTGGGGATAGCCACGCTGGATTGGCTGGTCCCTGGGTACCCGTGTGAGCTCAAAAGGGATCATTTAGCCCGGGAAAACGTGTCCCATTTGGAGCTGGGGATGCCCTCCAGGCAGGGACCTGCTTCTCCAAGACCCAGGGCAGCCCCACGGCCCCCCACGCGCCATCTGCCAGAGGCTGTGCACCTGCAAACTCGCTGGGCCGACGGCGCCCCGGAGCCGCTGTCCAAATGCTGAATCTGGCCTCCCCTGGGCCGGCTCCGGACGTCCTGCTGCCTACAGCTCCGCGTTTCCCGCAGGGGCGGGCAAGGGGTCCTGGGACGCACAACGCGGAGGCCTCAGGAAACTCTGGGGCTCCAGGATGACGTTGGAAAGCTTCAGGAGAGCAGGTGATCGGCCGAAGGGAGACAGGAGCCAAGAGAGCAGGCAGAAAGTGTGCCTGGCACTCCGAACTACGCGCCCTGGTGGCTCCCCCCGGGTCCCCTTCGCTTGTGTGTGCTTCTTCCACTTCCACAGCGGGGAGGTCCCTAGGCTGAACTTGTCAGCGAGTCTCACCATTCATCACGAGCCAGACAGACAGGCCAAGTTCATGAGCAATACTGTTAACCCCTTGCAAGCCAAGCGCCTCCCACAGGAGAAAGCCTCCTGGCCAGGGAGCGTTCTCTCGGATTCCAGAGGCACTGCCTCCCAGGAACGTGGCAGCCACCGCTCCTTTCTTTTCTGACTTGTCTCCTAACCATTTATTCCGTCATTTTATTTACACTTTTGGTTTCCACAGTCTTTCAAGTTCCTCCTCTTCTAAGTTAGTTTGATACCAGTATAACTGATTGCTTTTCAAATGTCTTCTTTTCCTATGTTGTTGGCTGTGCTGATTGTGAAAAAAAATTAGAAAATTCAGAAAAAAGAAATAAAATAATAATTGGCCCTCTATTTTACACCCAGAGGCCTGACTTTAAAAAATACATATTCTCATAGAAGAATCTAGATTGCTGGCTGCGTGGGGTGGGGAGTGAAGAAGGGAAGGAGGGAGAGAACCCAGTCCTTCTGAACTGGATGGAGAAGGAAAAACAAAAACAAGCTCTGTGAAAGGGCTCAAAGAGGGAGACCTGTCCATAGAGTCCTGTTAGAGGAGGGAAGGAGGGAAGCGGTCCATGGAGGTCTAGACACAGGGGCCCAGACACCCTTTCCACTCACTGGTCCCTGTTCTAGCCCCAAAGTCCGAGGGAAGCTTCTCCTGGCCTTGACTGTGTGTCTGTTGGTGGGGGGGGGGGGGTTGCTCCCTTGACCATGTGTGTTGATGGGAGAAAGCTCAGTCCTGCTCCAGAACCCCAGCCATCCCTGGAGAACTTTCTCTGACTCTCCTTGCGGTCTGGGAGACTTGGGCCACCCCTCCCCCATTTCCTATTGAATTCCTGGCGTCTGGTAGCTGGCGGCAACTAGGGCGACCCACCAACTTTTCCCCTAGGCAGTTTCTCACCCCCTTCGCCCCCCAGCGATTTCTTTTCTTCTCCCAGCGCTCCTTTTGAAAGGAGGCACCCAGGCCCAGAACGTGTTCTGCAGTTTAACTACTTCCAAATTCTTTGTTCAGGTCACCCCGGGACTCCATTGTCCGCTATTGAGAGCGCGGGCAGGCCGCCGGGTGCGCCTCTGCCTTGCAGGCCTGAATCCATTAGGCCACCGATCCGGCCCCTGCGGCCCATTGACGCGCCTCTCTCGCCCAGGCGCCGGCGGTCCCCCTCCCGTCCCCTCCGCTCCCACCCTCAGCTGCCTTCTGGACTCCACGGTGGAGTCACAGAAAGCTGCGGGTCTGCACACAGGGGTTGTTTGGGTGTCTCTCTGTCTTGAGGGACTGGGGGCGGTGCAGCCTAGGATGATTCTTGTGGGCTCTATCCCACTCAGCAAGCCTCTCCGGGGTCCTGCCCAAATTCTACTGTTTGTCCGCTGGGTACTACTTGGACCTGCAGGGCAGGTTTTGAGGGGGCTGCAGCCCCAGCCTCAGGAATGCGGGCGGGGAAAGAACAGCCAGCAACACCCTTCCACCGAATTCTCCGGCTTTCCAGCTGCTCCACCGCCTGGATTTCTGTTCCTCTCTTTCCTCCCAGCCTGCGCCCTCAAGCTTCCAGTAGGGTCAAGCCTCTTCTGAGCTGGGGGAATGAAAGGGGGGCCATCAGTTTCAGGGGACAGCACAACAGGGAGGGCCGGCCAGTTCCTGCGCCAAACGCGCTCACGTCGCCCTTGAAGGCTGATCTCCTCAGGACAGTGACTTTCCCCCCAGCTCACTGGAAAAGAGTCAAGAGTCCCTCCGGCCTCAGATGCAAGTTCCAGGCTCCCAGGGTGCCAGGATGTGGCTTGGGGGAGGAGACTCAGTCCGGCTCAGGCTCCCAGGGTGCGAGGGTTCGGCTGGGGGGAGGAGGCTCAGTCCCCCCTGCAGCCTCCTCCTCTCCTGCCTCAGGACCCAGGGAGACGCAGATCCCGGGAGTCCCCAGGGGCTCAGCTCTGAGCTGCGCGCCCCGGGAAAGTCGAGGTTCAGCGGGGTAGCACTCCCACAGCCAGTGTCCTTTTAAAAGGCTGGCTTGGGGCTGCGTATCTTTTCTCGGTGCCTGCAGGTTCCTCGCCCCGCCGCTAGCCTCGCCCCTCCTCCCGCTCTGGGATTATTGGGTCACCGAGTCCAGGGCGAACATCGACGCCCAGTCACCAGGCTTCTGGAAATCACTCGGGCCTCTGCTCGGGCCTGCCTTCTCCAGTCTGAGAAGCGGCCAAACCCTTCCCAGAAGCTGAATTCCTGGCGGGAGTCGCGGAGGAGCCATGGGGCCCGGCGCGGGTACCAGGGACGGGGGCGCCTGGCGGTCTGGCCCCAGAGACGTTGCGGCTGGGGGTGCAGGGCGCGGAGGAGCAGCACCGGATGGCGGGCGCCACTTCCCGCGGGCCGAGGGGGCAGTGGAAGAACGGGTCGTCTCCGCCGCACCGTCTCCGAGCGCCTGGCCAGAACTGCGAGGCGCGGGGCGCCGGACGCGGGACCTGGTGGAACCGCCGCGGCCCGGATGGGCGGCAAGGAGCGACTAGCGCCCCCTGGCGCCTCTGCCGAGCCCGCGCCGCCGCCGCCGCGTCCCCGTCCCGCGGGATTCCAGACCTGAGGGGGCGGAGGCTGCCGTCCCCGCACCTCCGAGACCCGGCCGGAGCGCGCCGCGCCTCTCCGAGGACGCAGGAACTCCCGAAGGTTTCCCACGCTCCAGCCTGCGTCCTCCGCGTCCTCCCCGCCCGTCCCGAGGCCTCCAGTCGGCGCTGCCGCCCTCGCCGCTCTTCCTCCCCTCAGCGCGGCTCTGCCCGGTCCAACAGCGCACTCTGGCGGGCGCCCCTAAGAGCTGCAGGTGAGCGCGGCGGAGGCGGCCCCGGCTGGCGGGAAAGGCTCTGGACCCGCGCAGCGCGGGCGGTGCCTGGGCGCCTGCCTGCTGGTTAGTGGCTGAGTGGAGGGGACGGAGGTGCGGTAGTCTAAGGACAACCGGGCACCTCTTTACCTCTCAGCCCCTACAGGTCAGGAAACAGAGTGAAGGACAGCGTGGGCGCTCACCTCCTCTTCCCCCTGAGACGGGCGCCGCTGCTACCCGCGCCTCCTTCAGGAAGGGTCTCTGGAAGCTGAAGAGGGCGGCGCAGGTTCAGGACCTTCCCTTGGATTCTTGCAGCCGGGCAGGGCCAGTCCGTTTGCAGCCTCGCCCTCCCCGTCTCAGTGACTTTCCTTTCCCCCGAGTCCCTCTCGTATCTGCAGGGCCTCAGAAGAATTAAGAAGTAAAAGCCCTTTCTCATCAGGGCTGGAGATCCCCTCTTCCAATTGCAGTGGGCAATGGGTAGGAGGTAAGAATGGGATGAGGGAGCAAGGCCCGGGATTTGGAAAGTTCTGGAGATGTTCCCCAGGCTCCCAGCCCAGTGACAGGCGCGTCTTTTCAGGCATGGCATGGTGGTGTGTCTTCGGTCTGGCCATGCATTTCGATGGGTTCCTGACATTCATTCATTTATTCACTCAACAAATATGTGCTGAGCTCCTACTAGATGCCAGCGCCGCTAGGGATAAAGCTCAGAAAGGGTAAGAAACGTGCTCAAGGTCACACAGCTGGAAGCTCCCGGAACCAAGATGCCACCCCAGCCACTCCAGCCCCATCTCTCCCTTCTCACCTGTATGACTTAAGAAGTCTTCTAACTGGAGCTCCACCTCAGAACTCAGCCCCTCCAACACGCCATCCACACTGCTAGAGACAGACCTTTCTAAAATGCCAATCTGATCCTGTCTCTTCCTTGCTTGACACCTGTCAGTAAGGGTCTTCTGACTCCAGGAAAAAGACTCAAGTTTCTCACAGGCATCCGAGCTCCTCCCAAGGCCTGTGCCCCTGAGAGCCTTGCCCCCATCTTCAGGAACCCGACAGTCCCACCCTCCCAGGCATCCCAAGAATGTTTCCTTAAGTGGTGCTCTTGCACCACTCCTTGCCTCTGTGTGTGCCTGGAGTGTCTCTGCCTGGAATACTCCTCCCTGGGGTGTTTCAGATCCTGAGTGAATGTCACTCCTCCATGAAACCTTCTGATCCAGACATATCAATGGTGACCTCTCCAATCACCTAAAGACTGGATGGGCCTAAGTGGCCATGCTTAGATATCTTTCATCCTCCCTCCCCCTCTGACAACCAATTAATTGAAGCTGGCATGGCCACTGACCCCCGAGGGATCATCTCTGGTCCAGCCTGAACCTACCAGGGTCTCTTCTGAGCACTGAAGTGAGACCCAAACTGGGAAGGTCTGCAGTGAGCAGGGGGAGCTCAACAGCTTCATGGAGTCAGTGCCACGTTCAGCCCAGGTGATGATGGGGCAAGGAAGCTGGGAGAATGGAGCAGGTGGGTCCATAAGCTAGCAGAGAAAAGGCCATGGGACTCAGGGCAAGAGAGAGACTTTCTCAGATGGCTTCTGCCCCTCCCTAGCAGGGGAGTCTTGCTCCTTTCCCTCGGCCAGCTTTGCATAGAATTCTGTCCTCTGCCCCTGCCAGTCCTCTGACCCCAACCCCCTTCTGCCAAGCCTGGCCCTCTTTCTCTGTGTGCCTTCCCGCTGAAGCAGTCCCTGGGCTTTACTGCAGGACAGCTAGCACATTGTATGGTGACCAGCCTCCTGAAGGCCTGGCACCATTCAGAACTGGCATAATTCAATTTCCCCAGAGCCACCAGCAGGCACGCCACCATGTGGCAATTGTGACAAACACCGTTTGCAATCCATTTGGATGCCAGTGCAGAATGATGAGTTTATTGATTAAGGTTTAAAATGTTTTAGGATTTGCATCTTTCAGATTTGTGCACAGGGTGAGAATTTGCTAACAGTTAACGATTACTGAGCGGGTATGTGGTGCCAAACACGACTCCAAGCACTTTATTATTAATCTTCACAGCTGTGCTTATGCCAGAGCTGCTCTTACTATCCTCACTCACCAGATGGGAAAAACCCAGGCACAGAGAGGTTAAGCAATTTGCCTGAAGTCACAGCTAGTCAGTGACTTGCACGGGATGAAAGCCCAGAGACCAAATTCCTAACCACTATGTTACACTGTCTCACTGGTTCTATATCATCCACGAGCTGACCAGTACTTATCAGACTTTATTGCAAGCCTCTTTTTTTTTTTTTTTCCTTTTTGGAGACGGAGTCTCACTCAGTCTCCCAGGCTGCAGTGCAGTGGCATGATCTTGGCTCACTGCAACCTCTGCCTCTCTGGTTCAAGCAATTCTGAGTAGCTAGGACTACAGGTATGTGCCAGCTAAATTTTGTATTTTTAGTAGAGATGAGATTTCACCATATTGGCCAGGCTGGCCTTGAACTCCTGACTGCCGCATGAGAAAGTGCATGGAACAGCGTGGGGTTATTCCAGAAGCTGCAACATACCGTGAGAGAGTGAGCAGAACAGCGTGGGGTCACTCGAGAAGCCGGAACTTCCTGTGAGAGAGCAGGTGGAATAGCATTGGGTCACTCCAGAAGCCGGAACTTCCTGTGAGAGAGCAAGCAGAGCAGCATGGGGTCACTCCAGAAACCAGAACTTCCTTGTGAGAGAGTGGGCAGAACAATGTGGGGTCACTCCAGAAGCCAGAACTTCCCCATGAGAGAGCAGGCAGAACAGTATGAAGTCACTCCAGAAGCGGGAACTTTCTGTGAGATAACGGGTGGAATAGTATGAGGTCACCCCAGAAGCCTGAACTTAGAGCGGGTCAAACAGCGTGGGGTTACTCCAAAAGCCAGAACTTTCAGAGAGCTGGCGGAACAGCATGGGGTCACTCCAGAATCCGGAACCTTCAGAAAGCAGGCAGAACAGCATGGGGTCACTCCAAAAGCCAGAACTGGCCTGTGCTGGTTAATTTCCTATGTCAACATGGCTGTGGTGCCTAATTGTTTGATCAAACACGGGTCTAGATGTTGCTGTGAAGGTATTTTTTTAGATGTGATTAACATTTAAATCAGTAGACTTTGAATGAAGTATCTTAATCCCCATAACTTGGTAGGCCTCATTCAATCAAGTGAAGCCTTAAGAGGAAAGACAGAGATACCCCAAAGAGAAAGAGATTCTGCCTCCAGATTGCTTTTGAACTTAAGACTGCGAAGTCCACTCTTGTTGGAATTTCCACAACCCCCAAAATTGGGTGAGTCAATTATGTGACTTAAATCTCTCTCTCTCTCTCTCTCTCACTCTCTCTCTCTCTCTCTCTCTCTCTGACACACACACACACACACACACACACACACACACACACAGATACGCACCCTATTGGTTCTGTTTCTCTGGAGCACCTTGACTCACACATGTCCTAAGCCAGGGTAGGCTTTAGGTTACTAGCAGCCAGTGGGGTTCACCACAGGAGGCCGTCAGGTCGGGGCAGTGTAGACAATGAAGGGGGATTAGAGGAGAGTAGCAACCAGCACCCCAGGGACCCACAAGTAAACAGCAGGAACACATTCTAAAGGCTCACTGAGGACAGCCCTGCTTCCCCAGGCCCCAGCTGAGCAGCTGAGCAGAGGCCATGGGACAGTAGAGCAGAGGGCCAACTCCAGAGCCTTTCCTTCTGTCTCCATGGAGAAGAGTTGACCTGCCTGGAACCTGCCCAGGAGGGTGGGGCTGGAGTTTCCCAGCAGCTTCACTGGTGACTCTGAGCCTGAGACCAATGTTCTCATCTCCTGACTCCCATTCTACCCACCGCTTACTTCCTGTGGGACTTATGCCAACTGACAACTTTTTTGTACTTGAGGGGTTTTTTTCTTTTCTTTTCTTTGGTTTTTTAGACAGTCTCACTCTGTCACCCAGGCTGGAGTGCAATGCACAATCTCAGCTCATTGCAACCTCTGCCTCCAGGGTTTAAGCGATTCTCCTGCCTCAGCCTCCCCAGTAGCTGGGTAGCTGGGATTACAGATGTGCACCACCATGCCTGGCTAATTTTTGTATTGCTAGTAGAAACAGGGTTTCACCCTGTTGGCCAGGCTGGTCTTGAACTCCTAACCTCAAGTCATCTGCGCACCTTGGCTCCCAAAGTGCTGGGATTACAGGCATGCACCACCATGCCTTAATAATTTTTGTACTGTTAGTAGAGACAGGGTTTCACCCTGTTGGCCAGGCTGGTCTCAAACCCCTGACCTCAAGTGATCAGCCCGCCTCAAAGTGCAGCTTCCCAAAGTGCAGGGATTACAGGCATGAGCCACCATGCCCGAACCTATCTGAGTTTTCATATCTGTAAAATGGGGCTAGTGATAGTCCCCTCCTCACAGGGTTATTGAGAGGGTTAAAAAAGACAACTGTTAGAAACACTGAGAATAATGCCTGCAAGTAGGTGATCAATCCTTGTTAGCCATTGGCTCCTATTAGTTGTCTGAGATTTTCAGTAACCTGATTTGCCCAATTAGGAGATGGGTTTCCTGCAGAGGTGGTGAGCTCTCTGTTGCTGGAGGTGTGTAAGCAGAACCAAGAGTGCGGGTGAACCAGGCAAGGATGCCCCCAGGCTGCAGGTCATCTGGGGCTTTGGCAACTGCATTGAAGCCTGTGTGCTGGGCACCTGACCTGGTGCTGCGCCCTCCTCAGGTTCTACCCTTCAGTGGACGCTGGTCTCCATCTCCTATTTTCATGCCTCAGTTTTCTGTCTCTGCCAAATCCTTATAACTTGGCTGCCTTTGTATCCCTTTCAGTGAGTACAGTGACCCTCCTGGCTAAGGCTACAGGATACCAATCAAGGTTTGGATGCCACCCTCAGACCTGAAGTAAGTTTTCAGGTTCTTCCTGCTCTGTCCTCAGAAGGAGCCTGGCAGATACGCTCCCTCTCTGCAGACATCTCTGCTTGTCTTAGTGACTGCAGCAACCCCACACTAGGACAGGTCCAGCTTTGACAGCTTGTGGAGCAACCGTGTTCAGCTGGGGTTGCCTCCTGAGCCAGAGGCACCACAGACGGTTATGCAGGTGGGGAACTGCAAAACTCCAGAGGGTGCCCTTCACAAGTACCCTGGTCCTTCCCCCCCAGAGGGGGTGCATATTGCAAAGGGAGAGGAATTAAGGATGATGATGCATATCAGAACCTGTTTGTTTGTTTGTTTGTTTTTGAGATGGAGTCTCACTCTGTAGCCGAGGCTGGAGTACAGTGGTGCGATCTTAGCTCACTGCAACCTCTGCCTTCCGGGTCCTGAGAACCTTTCAGTAAAGAAGAATGCCACCTATTAAAAAGTCTGGGCTGGGCGCAGTGTCTCACGCCTGTAATCCCAGCACTTTGGGAGGCAGAGGTCGGCGGATCATGAGATCAGGAGTTTGA